AATGTTCGAATGTGATACGAAATGGATAGATGATTGGGATTAATATTGGACTAGAGCTCGGATCAAAATCGAAGTCTCCGAATACGATTCAGTTCACATTCGAACTCTGCTTAACATATAGGTGATATGCAAAACTCGGCTATTCTTTGGATTATTTTTCTAACATGGCGAAAACACCAATAAAATCGAGATGAATTTCCCTTTCAATGAAAATGAATTTTTCCTAATGAAAATCGTATTTTGGATGAACAATCAGTATAAACATACCGATCGCACGGCTTGATTCTGTATTTCCACGTGTATTTCGTGTGAATAGTCGTGACGAAATGATTTTCACGATGAATGGTGCAAGTATTTTAAGTATGATATTTAGTCCACCCGCAAGTCCAACAATAGCTGAGATAACTTGAAATTTATTGTAGCGATGTGTGTAGGTATACGTACAAATATGTGGATTACATGTGTTATAATGAGTTGTTACATTGGTCGTATTGATCCAATCATCAATCATCAGATTTGAGACGATGAACTCCATGGTTGTATTAGGTAAAAAGCGACTTGGCAAGCGAGCATCAAGTGATGAAATGTTTAATGTGATTGGTTGCATCAAATCAGCAATTTCAAATAGACGCCAGTCGAATAACATTTGAATGCACGATCGATCATAAAGGCATTCAAGTGTTGACAACAGAAGTGAATTAAATGGGAAACAACTCATCACCATACCAGGCACAGTTTGGTTAGGTTGAGGATTCGCTGTGTGACAGTAAATCGATGCACAATAGAAACCTTGTGGATGCGTACAGGCGTTGCTCGTTAAACACGAACAAGTTTTATTTCCAGGTAGATAAAATACTTTTGGCCTGTAGCCCAATGTCCATGAATAATTTGATGCTATGATGTATAAAAAAAACTATTTTCAAAATATGTTCTAACGAAAATTTCATAAAAATATGTTGTTTTGATTCTTTTATTTTTTTTAATCTACATATCTATACATACTGATCCTACACTTTTGATTAGGCATGCACCGAACGCGAACTATAGTTCGGGGTTCGGACCGAACGGTTCGGGTTCGGGCTCGGGTTCGGTCCCAGAGTTCGGGTTCGGGCTCGGGTTCGGTTCCAGAGTTCGGGTTCGGGTTCGGATTCGTATGATTAAAGGTTAAACTGTTCGTAGTTTAATAAAAAAAAGGTAACATTTTATATATATATATCTTATTCAACACAATGCACACACTCTCAAAGTAGTGGAAGAAGGAGGGACACGACTGAAGATATTGGTGATCTATATCATATATATATAACGGAAAACAGCATGTCAGAACTGAATTGAATCGATTTTTTATCTTTTTACATAAAACCATTGCTCACAATACAGA